AATCTAAATCCCTTACGCGTCGTTGTACCGTTTACCACTCTAACTAATGTTCAGTATTCCTTTTTCTATTCTACTTCTTCTGATTGGAATAATCTACCACCGTATGTTGCTTCAGCACCTACTGTGAAATCTTTTAAAAGCAATTTAAAATGGTACTTGAGTTTTTTCTGATCTGTTATCTACGTACGTGATATTTTTCTATCAGGTGTAAGTCTACTACAGCTCTTTTGTTGTTGCTACAAGCCCTCATGCTTTTTGATGTACCTCCTTTGACACAATGTAACATCTTTTATTATTACTTTCTGTTTGTTGTCAATAAATATAAAAGAAAAGAAAAGAAAGAAAAGACATTTTTGAAGGCCAAAAGACACCCAAGCAGTTCATTACTAACATCATCGTACCGCTGCCAAAGAAAGGTGATCTAAAGATATGGACGATGAACAACAAATGTACCATCAAAGTGGAAAACTAGTTCGATTTCTTGATTCTTGGAAATCATCAGGAGAAAATCTGTTTGAACGAATATCTCAATTAACTTCAGCCATGGCGAAAGCTAGTTATTGGAATGCACTAGAAGTTGATATTATTCAAGCATGGTTAGACGCTCTTCAATACATTCAGTACAAGCCTCCGTCCTTAGTGAAAGAAAAAAAGAGTCACACTCAACAACTTAGGCGAACAGCTGTTTGTGCTACAGGACTAATGGAATGCTTAGATGAAGGCTGGACAGCGACTTTTCCAGAACTAAAAAAGCGTCTTGCCGGTGATATGGATGTGTTCATGTTTTTGTCTTCTACATCTAAAAGTTCACACGAAATGCAACAGGCTCTACGGCAACAAGCAACAGTGCAAGTCTTTTATGAGGACCGTAATCTAGATCCAAAGTTCATGCAAACGTGTTCTTCAGATTTCAAGTTACGATCTGATCTCACCATTAATAGCTTCTTACAACAAATATGGGCCATATTAAAATGCCACGATTTAGTTATTGAGTATTTGAAGAAAATGAATGTTGAATATCAGTTACTTGTTCGAGCTAGGGCTGATCACTGATTTACAAAATTACCTAACGGTACATTTAAACGTCCGGGCCCACTTAACGTCAACAATACTATTGTAGTCCCCAACAAACGTAATATACAAAGAAAATGATTTCGATTTATCGATAGCAGAAGACTGAGTGTGATTGTTCTGATATACTTCATTCTATTAACATTAGGAGTAGCCTGTCGAAGTTTTAAGGTGGGTTTAGGTAATTTTGTTAGGTAATTTTCCGTTGCTTTTCCCAATGACCATCGTGGTGCATAGTCAATTGCTGTTATTATGGAGCGATTTCGCTGTCTGTTTCTGGAAGAATTCCGATAAAAGCTATGCTTCATCTCTGAAATGGTTGTATCTTACAATTTAGAGAATGTAGAGATTCTCGAACAATTGAATGATGATTGCCGGTAATGTTGATGATTGATGTTGATTTGGATTCGCTGTTATTGTTGCATGACGATTTGTGGTGGATGTTGCTACTGTTTGTTGTCGAAAAATTTGTTCAACTAAATCATCTCGCTTCTTCTCTCGTTTTAAAAGCTGTTCCATCAGTTTCGTTTGTTGTACTATTACTTAGGGCAATTCAAAAGTAGTGAGGGAGGTACTTTATTTTCTTAAGGGGCGCTTCAAAAACATTTCTGTTTTAATGAACAGATAGAGCGTCTTTTGCTCTATTTTTCTATGCTATTTGATCAATATTCAACTAGTATTATAATAATAAAATTTCGATAAGTTCTGTTTCTTTCGCATATGTGCTGGTAGCATGAACATGAATGCTCGTGAGTATTTTTTGAATAACTTTTGATAGCAACAAGATAGAGGACTGCGGTTTTCACCGTTCGAAAGAAAAAATGAAGACGCATTGAACCATATATTACTGATTTTTCTAACCTGGTTTTTGCAAGGTTTTTAGTTGACCTTTTAAAGGACAAACCTATCCTGTAAGTTGTTTACAGTAAATTTTCAATAATCAGGCTAACATTCAAACCGCTAATCGAAGATCTACAAACTGCAAAAGACTCAGATGTTTAAATTTAATTATTTCGGGATAGTACGTATTTTAGACGAACCTCTACTACGATTTTCTATCAACTTTTTTGTTTTTGCTTTTTTCCATGAACAAAAATTTTTCCGACGGTTAGAAAATTGAATAAAAACACTTCGGAAATCCTATTAAAAAAATCAGTAATATACAGTTCGATGCGTCTTCATCTCCTCTTTCCAACGGTGAAAACCACAGTCCTCTATCTTATTGCTATCAAACGTTATGCAAAAAGTACTTACGAGCATTCATGCTAGCAGCATATATGCGAAAGAAACTGATCTTATCGAAATTTTATTATTATAATATTAGTTTAATATTGATCAAATAGCATAGAAAAATAGAGCGAAAGACGCTCTGTCTGTTCATTAAAACAGAAATGCTTTTGAAGCGCTCCCTAAGAAAATAAAGTACCTCCCTCACTACTTTTGGATTGCCTTAAGTACATTGGATAACTGTGCAAAAGAAAAGGATTGCTCTGCTATATTTATAGCTACTTGTGGCATCGTTGTTTCTCTATCCATCTCAGTTGGTTCGGCCGTTCCACTTCCGACTGAGTATAGATCAGCGATACTAGATCATTTCTCGATGCTTGCGAAACTGGACAGTCCCGCAAACTACTTTTACAAAACGTTTCTGACAGACTTTTACACAAACTACTCTCTAAAAAAAATCCGTAGCTTACAAAACGAATATCGGTTTTGGCATTTGCTCCTAATAGAAACCGATATCCGTATCGTATGGTTCTGCATAACCGTTTCGCAGAATACGTTTCAACGTTTTTTCTCTGGTACAAACCTTAAATCCGTTTCTTCACAAGGCAAAAAACGGTGAAGCGTATTCTGCGAAACGGTTATGCAGTACCGTACGACACGGATATCGGTTTCTATTAGGAGCAAATGCCAAAACCGATATTCGTTTTGTAAGCTACGGATTTTTTTTAGAGAGTAGACAAAACTCTTCATTTGCTGGTATATCGGCAAACACTTTGAGGTTTTCTCGAAGAAGGAATGTAAAACCTTCCTTCTCACGCTTTCGGAAATTTTCAAGAAACAGGATTGAAACTCTATTTTATGCTACACCAACATTTTTTCATTACAGGACAAAACAATCAATTCCTCTAGTATTCACTCTCACTGCTCAATCGCTAAACGAGAGTTGCTTCCTTCTGCTGTCCACAACACTTACCCTATGAATAAAATACGATGAGAAATATACCCGTGTCGAAAAGAACACATTGTCGTTTGTTTTATGGAATATTATTCGCAATAACACTTTTGTGACTCATTCAGCAGAGCTCCAAATATTCTGAATTCGTGTTAACCACTGCGCACAAGTGTATATGAAGGATCCAGACCCTCTGGATTGCTTGCATGTTATTGAAAGGCACAGCAAAGTTCTCCACTGCAGAATTCAGAATTCTGCTTTTACATACAACTAACCATCTGCGATAGAACTCGTCTAACATAATCGATTGATGACAATGCGGGAAGATTCTTTACTGTTTTGTTCACGGATGGCCTTCTATGGACATAATGTGATAAAAATGATTAGGAATAGTGAGATGGAGAAAATTCGAACTTGAGTAAAAATGTTTTTCGTTTTTCTACAGATGCGTGGATACAGCGCATCCAGCTAAGTGAGACAAAATACACTAAAAATCCGGGCGTAAATGTGAGAAAAAGAAATCATTAAATCATTCCCTTGACTGAAAGTTAGGGTCATATAAACTAAATGTCCGTCCGACCGTCCGCAGTAGAGTAGTGACACCTGCTTTTGAATCAGCGTAGATTACCGACATATTTATATTCGAGGGGGATAAACACCTAATTACTATTTTTTCGGTAGGGTGACATCCTAGATGTGCGAGTCCGAAATAAAAAATGTCAGAAATTAAATTTCACATATTTTATCTGCTGACACCAACTTCGTACGTTGTAAGGTGCAATGACTGGTTTATATCATGTTTTCGGGTTTTCCATATCAACCTACAGGCGTTTTTTTCTTGAGGTGTTGCCAACCTGGGACTAGTGGGCTTTTGTAGCCCATGGTCGACTGAGTGGATCGGCACTAGTTTGGCTCCGACGTATGGCCGACACTCCAGCAAAAAAAATTAAAA